TCATCATCTCCTGTAGCCTTTCCCTTCCTCATTTCCTTGATAGCTTTTTCCACCTCACTTTGCAAAATATATGGTCCTTTCTTGTCTGTATCTACTTCTTCTTCCGGTTCAACTTCTAAGGTTTCTGGCTGATTAGGTCGATCATATAGTTCTGTAATATAATTTTCCCAAATTTTCAGAACTTGCCTCTGATGTACTATTCTATTCCCCTGGGAGTCTTCGACGCCAATATTTTGAATCCCACGTTTCTCTTTCCATCCTAGTTTTGTCTTCAAGTACATCAAATCATAACTTCCTGTTCTTTGAAATTCTATAATCTCATTACATATCTTCTCAAGATACTCCTTTTTGGCCCTGTCCGTGGCTCTTTTCAATTCATTCCTCAGTCTCCTGTATTTCCTCCTGCCTTCTTCATTGTTGACATTCTTCCATATATGTATTTTTTTTCCGATCGCTGGAACTTGATGTAGCAGCAAAATGCATGAAATACAACATCAGGGCAGATTTGAAATTGACAGATGCACAAGCAACGGCACCGATGAAAGCCTGGGTGCTTTCAAAAACTCTGAACAAAATACAGGTTTACTGCAAAGTAGTGACAATTCTAGCATCCTTGCATAAGCTGTTTACAAGCTGTCATGATCATGGCATGCATTCACCCACCTTAACGTAGTGGCCTCTTCAATTTTTTCCTATAGGGCCACCTGAAGAAGCATGTTTATGGAGTTCCTACTAAGACAATCACGGATCTTGTGGCATGACTTCAAGCAGCTGTGACAATGGTCAATGCCAACATGTTGAGGCATGTTCGAGGGAGAGAACGCTGTGAGGTGCACTGCCGTGTGCTTTAAAATGGACAGAGGCCAGCCCCAATGAAGTGTAACCCTGTGGTACCCATGGACTGACAATAAGCCTCTGCCAAACGACTGCAATGTATATCTTGAAAACTAAATATCACAGAACATACACCACACATTTCTGACCTGTTTCAACAAGGATTCATATCATGGACAGCCTGAATGCGAATTTCATTCCATCCTGCACTTACTACATAATATGGGGGGGGGGAGTGATATGATTGTTTATGTTGTGGAAGGTAGGATGGTTCACAGCAATTAGAAAAGCTAAGCTAGGTGTGGTTTCTCTTGGAGAGAAATGTCTGGCAAGGATACATTTTGTCTGCCTGGTGAACTGAGTAAACATCTGTTGACATACCCACAGTAATGAGTTACTTTTTAAATTATTGTAACCACAACTTAATATGCCATTCATATCTGCAACCCAAATATGAACAAAACTCTGTATATTAAGTGATATATGCATGAACGGATGTGTTAGTGAGCAGTGATGGAACACATCTTCACCTGGGTGGCCTCCTGGTATCCCTGTCCCGATCAGCTCTCCGAGATCCTGGTACTCGCCCTGCATCTTCTTTGCCAGACTCAGTTGATGCTGAGACTTCATCTCCTGAAAGTTCTGAATCACTACCATGACCCCATTCTCCTCCACTTCGTGAAGATGGTGGCCGTCCAACATGTCCAGGGTTCCTGTGCCCACCTCGGCGACCACGTAATTCCCTTTGCGGACCCCAACCACCACGATAAACAGCGAAGCTACCCCAATTCTGTCTCCCACCACGAACCTGTAACCAAATAATAAGAGGAAGGAAATTAATTCAACTTACAGAATTTCAAACATTAATGATGATCAAAAAACACGGTTCTGCCAGAAGAACGATAATGTAAAATAACACACATACCTGATCTGAACGTCCTCGTCCAGCACGACTCCGTCCACTCTTTTCACGTTTGTTTTCCACATCAATCCCAGCTTCATCTCCTTTCTTTGTTTCTTCAGTCAGTCTTTCTGTTTCATTATCAATCTCTTTAGCTTCAGCTTTTATTTTTTCAGTACTGTCACTTTTAACATCTACAAAAAAGAACATCAGCATTATAATAATGCGAAAATTACCATTGTTATTAGACCTAGCAATCAGGGGAGTTGAGTCAGCCACTGACCTCCTTTGTGTACTGAATTATATACTTGTACATAGTAAAGCCACAATTTGATCTTTACCAGGACAACACATCTGAACCTAGCCAGACACAACATAACACTGAGATAAAATCGGATGGAACCAATGAACCTGTACACTAAATGCAGGGCAGTTTAAATCAAGATATCTGAAGACTAAACTCAGAATAACCAACACTTTGTAGATACTCACTGCTGCTTCCAAAATTTGCACACAATCATCTAGTTTGCAACTTACATTCATGTAACACATTCCTTCTACACTACTCTACATTCATAATGTTATGTGTGGCTATAACGCTCCTCTGTGCTGGTGAGACGTCTACCTACGTTCTTCAACCATATGAACACACTTATCCAGCCCATTATCTAATCTGATGACGAGGCAACCCCAGGTAATGGGCTAGCATCTGCTTCAAAATGGGTAGATTATGACCCAGAAAGGTTAATCCCACATACACAATACTGTGGCATAAACACCTATTGCGTGGTACTGACCGTGAAACAAATAACAAGACCACAGCAGTTTCCAGGCAGTGACCCATGTGCAACAATGCTAGTACTGTTGGAAGTGGGGTTTTCTATGTGGTCCACTCCGAGGCTATGTGACTTGACAGACCCAGCTCAGTTCACTTCAGTTAGTGAATGCAGTGCAGTTGAGTACAGTAAAGAGAGTTCACTGGCAAGCAGTAAGTCAGTTGGAGGACTGTTGCAGATAGAAGCTGGTAGCTGAGGCACAGGGACAGTTTGTGAACCCAAAGGAAGGGGAACATCCACTGTTGCAGGCCATTATCAGATGTCTGGTGAAGACACAGCAGACTGAAAAGACTTTATGTCTGGTGTAGTGAACTGCAGACTGTGTGAACTAGCAACAGTGCTATAGTTACTTGTAGTTATGATCTGGTCAATAAATCCAATTACCAATCCAAACACCATCTATAGTCACTCAAAACTGTGACAATATCTTCCTAATCCAGAATTGGTAAAAGCAGTAATATTATGGACACTGGTCTGTCCGTCTATCCGCGGGTGTTTACATCTGTAAACGCTGTACACTGCACCATACAACCTGATAAACCATGCACCAGGAGAAAATGAAGAGGGTATTATTATTCTTAGTGGGGGAGAGACTGAGTCCACTTGGTACTGCGGCCACTACGGGCCTACTGTACCAGCTGCAGATGACAGACGATGGTGAGTGTGGAGCAATTGGTGGGATGAAGACTGGCAGGGGGAAAATGAAGTGCTAAGAGTAAACCTACCACAGTATCACTTTGTCAACTACAAACCCCACATGATCTGACCTGGGCTTGAACCCAGGCCACCATGATGGGAAGCCAGCGACTAACCACATGAGCTATGGCACAGCCATAAACTGAGACCCTCCTGCTCACTGTAAACACAATGGGGTAAAAATTTAATCCAGAGGTAAGGACAACACTATAAACACCAGAGCATGACCACCTCAAAAAGTGAAACACTTTTGAGAATCAGTGTCAAAATACAGTTAAAAACCATGCAATCTTGCCATCATTCAGGCCTCTGTCTCCTTTGTACATCCAAGGGTCCAACAGAATGATACATACCCGATACTTCCTTCTTTTCAGATTCTTTCTTGACATCACTGCTCACAGACTTTGGTTTATCCTCCGCCACAGCGACCACTGGTTTGGGAGGAGCCTCAACAGGTTCACAAGGCGGCAACGAATCAGCCCACAGTTTACTTGTACTTTCCAAAGCTCTGCTCATGGGTGATGGACTGTCAGAATCGGTAAGTGATGGGGCTGTACGTTCTGAGTTCTTCTGCGTATTGTTGCGATTCCACGCATCAACATTGTCACTTGGCTTTCTATCAAGCGTATCCACCTATCCGCAACAAAAATTAACAGTTCCCATAATTCTGTGACAAAAGAAACAAGAGGACAAAGCTATAACAAATGCTGAACCTCTGATTCTGAAAGATTTTCTTACCTGGTTCTCACTTTTCTTATTATCAACTTTCTTTTCAATTCCAACTCCTAGGCCACCACCTAAAGTCGAGCGTTTCAGTTGTGTGAGATTCCGTTTAGGCTCACTGCGCAATTCAGCAGCTTCTAACTTTTCTCGAGTTATAGGTCCAGGTACAGGATGACGGATCACTTCTCGTCTATCATCACGGAAGTAATCTGACTGTGGCTTCTTCTTTTCTTCCTTGAACTCTCCATACTGTGACTCTAGTGGAGCTTCTGACCAGGGACCAGTGTAGTCACGGCTTGAAAGACCTAACTTATGTTCACTATCATGGAAAGACCTGTAAAACAAAATTATTTTCCTTGGAGAAATATGGGATGAAATTTTCTGAGCCCACACGAACCAGGGAATACAAAGTACTATACAGATGACATTTTCATAAACAGTTGAACATAAAATTTAGCCCACATGAACCATGGAATACAAAGTACAATACATACAACATTTTCATACACAGTTGAACACAAAATTTAATGTTCCTTGAATTAGAGATTTCTCCAACTTGAAAACAATTTCAGTGATCCTAAACCAATAATCTCAGTGATAAACTTCATTCCCCTTGGTTTAACCTTTAAACGACTAAAGACAACGTATGTCGTCGCAGATAGTAAAGGCAGCGGTACGAATGACGCCATGTGGTGTCGCAAAGTCCGCGCGTGCGGACGTTATTTGAAATACATTTTTAAGGTAGAAAATAATGTCCTACTTATATAATTTTTGGCCACCATCTGCATGGAGGGTCTGTCTTCCCACCTGCGTCATCTGCCGGAATGTTGCCTTCGTGTGGAATTCTCAAAAAATCCGGAAATGCAGAGTCCGATTTCGCAATTCACGCACTTTGTCCGGGCGGTCTTTCGTGTCCCACGCGAAAAGCACACACGACACCTCAATTGCGAAGTATAGCAAGTCGGCCAGTGATGTGGTTTGGCCTTCTATAGTCGAGATATCTCCCATAAAACGGCAGGGGTTCGACTCCCGGTCGCACAGTCCGCGCGTGATGACTTTACATAAATTACATTTTTAAAGTAGTAAATAATGTTCTACTTACGTAATTTTTGGCCACCATCTGCATGGAGTGTCTGTCTTCCCACCTGCGTCATCTGCCGGAATGTTGCCTTCGTGTGGAATTCTCAAAAAATCCGGAAATGCAGAGTCCGATTTCGCAATTCACGCACTTTGTCCGGGCGGTCTTTCGTGTCCCACGCGAAAAGCACACACGACACCTCAATTGCGAAGTAGAGCAAGTCGGCCAGTGATGTGGTTTGGCCTTCTATAGTCGAGATATCTCCCATAAAACGGCAGGGGTTCGACCCCTGGCCGTTGATGGCGAGGTGGACCCCTAACAGCATGTTCCGCAAAAGAGCGAGACGAAATTCTCAGTGTGACAACAGGATGTAACTGTTCAGACCAAGGAGATGGAAAAATAGCTTATTTGTCCATTTCCAGGTTCGACAACAGATGCTATAACTGTTTGGCACAGTTTGCCCACAGCTCCACCTGAATAATTATTCACACTCCTCGTGCCACGCTGGTGTGGTGGTCCCCAGGTTGCCGACGAATAGCTAGACAGAACACTTCCAGTTACGAACCAAGCACTCAGTGTAATGAAACTGTATAAAGAAATGTAATCTTAGTGTGCAGCCGAGCCATTCGCCCACTCTTCATTCCACAAGAATTACGTCATGGTACGATCACACTTTGAAATTACGCTCGACTGAACGCTTCCAGCCACGAAGCTATTACGGTGTGTGTTCATACAGTAACACGATTTCATAAAACAAACGCTAGCCTTCAACTCTACAAGAACAGTACACGTATTGTTTAGAAGAACTCTATATGCAACAACACGTGACTTTATATCATTCGTCCACTGTCCACATTCTAGTAGTAGCCAACGATAAACTCTAGACTCAACATCCGGTGTTACCGTGACTTGCACAAGTGTCGTCATCAGCAACTTGCATTCAGGGGTATTCAGAACGTATGAATTCTTGCACAGAAACAAGAAACTGGGAAAATTCTTCTTTGGAGTCAGTGCAAAAATTTTAACATGTTTTATACAATCTGTAAATTACAATATCTGATTCTATATTCTTTAGAGAAAAAAACAGCGTTTATTTCGTTCGTTTATCACAGAAATTGCAGAAATAGGAGCAAATTTAGTAAGTGACTACAGTTTTTACGGATTTCTAATCGCGGGTATTTAAATATATTCCGTACGGCTGCCTTTACTGGAATTTAAATGGCCGTAGGATAAGCGTTAATGTTCAAATTCAGTGTTCCCATTTCACTGCCAAAAAATTCCTATGATGGGGCTACCATGCTATATGCAAAGCGTTCCAAAATAAAGCATTACTTATTGACGAATACATAACACATGTTTCTGTTCCTGCAGCTAACTCTAAAAGACATAATGTGAATATTGTATCATCTGACTCCATATAATCCTTGTAATCACTGAAAACATCTACCCTGACAGGTGGATGTTCCAGGATGGTGGAAAGTGTAGGTTGTCTTGAGAGCTGTATCTCTCCATTTGCTAACAAATTACGTGATAAACAAGAAGTGAAGTGTATAGGTTGCTCAGAATTAAGAATGGAACTACTTCAAGCAAAGAATGAAATATTATCGTTGGGAAAAATAATACCAATGTTACAAGAAGAACTGAACATGCAGAGGACTCCAAGTAAGCAATCCCCAGTACAAGGAAAACCAGCTGATGAATGCTCTAATAATCAATTTCCACAGGGAGGATGGACAAAATCAAACTGCAGAAAATACAAGAAAAACTACGATCTGAACAGCAATCTGATTCAATTAGTTCCCACTTCACAAAATAGATTTGAGGTTCTTGCTAACCTCAAAGATGACAACGCCATGGGTGTATTATCCAAGGATGATGAAATTAAGTTTTTAAATAGTTGTTCTCATGTAAAAGGTATTAATAAATTAACAAGAAGTGTTAAGACAGGCGACTATAAAGTGTTGTTAATTGGCGATTGTCTTGCCAAAAATGTGCATTAGATCTTCGACATCATCTCGATCACAACTATGAAGTCTGTGGTTTTATTAAACCAGGAGCCTTATCCAGCGAGATCATTAAGGCGGTTGAAAAGGAAGTATCTGCACTTAAACAAGATGTGGTGATTTTGTGGTAACTGACACAAACAAGCTAGAATTTGAAACTAATCTTAAGCAAACTCTTAACACTTTGCAGACCGCACCCTTTAAAAGGTTTTTCGCTTTTAAACATGGCAGACCATTCGCGTGTTAACAGGTTTTTAGAACACAATAAGTTGCAACACACTATACATCGCTGTGGCGCCACCTACATTGCATGCAACCGCCTGCAGATGAGTGATAAGACTCTGGAATGTTTAGTTAGCAGTAGTAACTTGACCTCGCTGTTTACTTAACCGACTATAAAGGAAAATGCTTTGCCTTATTCAAGCTGTGTGTATCAGCCAGTAGCTAGTGGGCAGAATGGATCAAGGACAAATTCTCCTCCGATGACCTAGCTGACCTGCCTTGTGAGACGCGTAGTAATGGATTGTCATTCAGACAGCGACAGTGACGGGGGACAACAAAGAATTGTGACCACAGGCAGTGAAAGTGAAAGTAGCTCCGACGATAATGCGGGTAATAACATTGCGGGGACAGCAAAAAATCTAAATCCTGATTCAAAATTGAAATACAAAGCATTTCTGATGAATGTGGCAAAGTCCTAGGCTACAGTCCAGATGCTGGCGGCAGAACCAGGGTCACACAAAGACTTAGTATGACCGGGTCCATCAACTCCCACCCCACAAAGGCCTCATGTGGACCCCCAAGGCGACTCTCGAGTGATATGCGGAAAAATACCCTCGTGAAAATTGTGAAGAGTGAACATTCCAAGGGGAAGAATACTTGTAGGCAATGCCATGTTTGCACAGTTCACAAAAAAAGGAGTATGTCTACATTTGCAAGTTCTGTGTAATGCCACTTCACAAAGGGGAAAGTTTCCAGAAATATCACACCCTCAAGCACTTCTAGGAGCATTGGTAAGTGTTCTCCAAAAATTGTAGTTCAAAAAATTAATTAGGAGATTTTATATTAATTTTTAAAGTGAACAGTGCACAAGTTAGGGTAGTATGTTTAAAAATGCTGGTCCCCAGGGAGATTTAAATATTTAAATCACCGGTCTGCGAAGTGTTAAAGACACTGATGCATGGTTTAATGCTAATTTGCACACTTTGAATTTTAACAAATCTCAATATGTTGAATTTCGTTCCATGAATTATTATAACATTACTTCCAAAACTGTAGATGATCCAATTAAATTAATCAAGGCATCAGAAACAAAATGTTTGGGTTTAATCATTGATGATACCCTCACATGGAAACAACATACTATGCTATCAATAAAATTTCAAGGTCATGTTACGCATTGAGAAATATAAAGCATTTTATTCCATTAGATTCATTAAGGTCCATATATTTTGCACACATACATTCGATCTTAAGCTATGGCATCATTTTTTGGGGTGGCGCTTCCTGTGCTGGCAATGTTTTTATACTACAAAAGAAGGCTATTAGAATTATCACGAATTCTGGTTCAAGTGTCTTATAGACATTTATTTGAGAAGCTTGAAATAATGACATTCTATTCTCAATTCATATATTCATTAATTTTATTTACGATTAATAATAACCATCTTTTCAATTCTATTAATGAGATTCACACAAGTATAAAACCAGATCTCTTAATAATCTCTATTTACCTTCTGTAAACTTAACAAAATACAGTAAGAGTACATATATAGCAGGTATTAAAGCCTTTAATCATTTACCTCAAGCTTTAACAGGGTTGACTTCTAACATACTAAATTTTAAGAGGGCACTGAAGAGATTTTTACTTCATCACTCTTTTTATTCTATGAAAGAATACTATCAACATAAGTGGTTATAATATGCAAATGTATTATAGCTTAACAATTGTAACATACTTTTAGTCTAGAAATCTGCAGCAGTCCTATTTAAGACATTACGAGCAACTATCGGATTGGATTAATGAATTTGAATATAGAAACTAGAATTTTAAGTTTTAAGAGTGTTTTGAAGTATATACTGTATGGATCTATGGGAGTTAAATATGATGATGATATAAACATAATGGGTCATAGGTGTGTAATTTTGTGACTGTATTTGATTTAGTTAATATAGGTAATTTATATGAAATGGTGTAAATACAATGTAAGATTTGATCTTACATCGGTGTAAATACAAGTTTTATAGTAAGTTATTTTTAAAGTATGTGTATTAAATGAAATCTTATTAAATTCTTTTATCTTTTATTATTATTATTTATATTTATAGATTGATGTAAGTGACTTTGTTTGACTCGTGCAATTTTGTATATGCATGTTGATGTATCTGTATTCAAAAGGACCATTTTTCCACATCCTGGTTTATTAACCTGTATGGATATACAGTAAAACTTGGTTATAGCAACATCGGTTTCTGCGACACCTTGTCTATTGTGTCAAATATTCAATGGTACAAACTAATTCCTCATAAAGCAACTGTTTTTATACCTTGCTTAGTACGACATGCACAAATGCATCAACCTCGTATGTAATGTCATTTTCATTCCTGAATTTCTCTGATATGGACATTGAACGTAATTTAGAAAGTGTGTATTGGGCAAGTAACAGGAAACAAATGAAGATAACTGATTACTGTACTCGTATCTAGGTACAGTAAGGCACAACAATTGATGTAATCTACTGTAATTTGGTGAGTAGGCCTACCTTTAATATACAGTATTAGTGCGGTGTGTATTGTCAGTGAAAAGCGCTGTAATATGTCTTTGATATTACACATTTGGGCAATTCCACGTTAATGTTACGTTAGTCTGTACTTAACTACGTATTTCACTAAAAAATGCAACATTTTAACTCGGTTTTTGGTAGTTTTTACGTGACTAACATAAGGCTACTGTGGAAGTGCCCATTTTGGTTACAACAACATTCGTTTATAACGACACTATTTTTAGGTCCCTTTGATGACGTTATAACTAAGTTCTACTGTATATGGAAAATAAAATGAAATGAAAATTGACAGAAAGATCCCCGCTATACACCATTTTCTAGAACAAACGCGAATAATGCTGCCTTATCGTGGGGTCCTTTGGGGGAAGGGGGGGGGGAAAACAATCAAGAACACCCTTGAAAATTATGTGCTCTCTGCTGCCACAGCTGCTAACATCTGTCAAGAAACATACTGTAGTGGGTAGACCTGTTATTTGGTAGCGACTGTAAAAGAAAGGTCCCCACAGTAATGAGTTCAAGCACAACAGAGGAAATGTTGGAAATGGTGTTTCCTATGTGGACTGTGCCAAGGGGTTATATAATGAGGACACCAGCTGAGGTGTAGTCTGTGAAGAGAACACTTAGTTGGTGCAGCTGAGACGTTTATTCCAAAGCCCGGGAAACTTGATTATACCGAGGCTAAGGCTTATCGTCCTATCAGCCTGTCGTCTTTCCTTTTGAAAACGATGGAGAAACTAGTGGATAGGCATATCAGGGACGAGGCGTTGAGGACATATTCTCTACACCGAAACCAACATGCCTACCAAACACGTAAATCTACCAAAAGTGCACTACACAATGTGGTAACACACATAGAAAGTGCAATTGAACACAAGGATATTGCCTTAGGAGCATTCCTTGATACAGAGGGAGCCTTTGATAGGACCTCATTTGATGTAATCAAACAGGCTGTTGGAAGGCATGGCATAGAGCCTGCAATATGCAGATGGATCAATGCTATGCTGGAAAGCAGAACCATAGCTGCTACATTATCAGGCGAAACCCTGGGGGCATCCACGTCTAGGGGATGTCCGCAGCGGGGCGTACTTGCACCTCTGCTGTGGAGCCTGGTCGTCGACGATCTCCTGTGGGGACTTAATGATGATGGGTATTATACAGTAGGATATGCTGATGACATAGCAATCCTTATAAATGGAAAATTCCTTTCGACCATATCAGAGTGTCTTCAAACAGCTCTGTACATGGTCAAACGATGGTGTGAAAGAACAGGTCTTTCCATCAATCCCAATAAGATGGTAATTATACCGTTTACTAGGAAGAGAAATATAAAGGGTCTTGGGGAATAGACTCTCTTCAAGAAGACAATCCAGCTCTCCAGCGATATCAAGTACCTTGGTCTAGAATCAGACAAGGGACTGACATGGAAAAAGCAGCTGGACAAAGTCATTAACAAAGCCTATAAGGCTTTTTGGACATGCAGAAGCATGTTTGGTAAAACTTGGGGACTGCAGCCACACGTTATACACTGGATATACACTGCGGTTGTGAGACCCATAATTACTTATGGTGCCACAGTATGGTGGATCAGAGTTAAATTCAAGACTAGCAAGACAGAACTTAGCAAATTGCAAAGGTTGGATTGCTTAGGTATCACAGGAGCATTTTGAACATCTCCAACAGCTGCACTGGAGATACTCCTTGGACTCCCCCCACTGCATGTACAGTTGGATGCAGAGGCCAGGGCAGGAATTTACCGTCTCCAGGGCAGTGGACAATGGAAATCCAGATCTGATGGTTTTGGCCATGCATACATGACTCAGGACATGAAAAAAGAACCCATGTTACAAATGGGGTCTCATAAAATCATACTGAGATATGTATATGAAAAACCCTTCATGGTCACATTTCCTGAAAGCAGTGAATGGGAAGACGGGTTTCGGCCCGATAGAAAAGGGGGACTGATCTGGTACACAGATGGTTCCAAGACAAATAAGGGCACTGGAGCTGGTGTGTACTGCCATGGCACGAGGCGGAAACTTAGTTTCAGCCTTGGACAGTACACGACAGTATTCCAGGCAGAAGTATATGCCATTAAAGCATGTATTATGGAGAATTTAGCTAGGAACTATAGAAATAGGAACATCTACATTCTGACAGCCAAGCTGCACTTAAAGCGCTTGACAAACACCAGATCAATTCAAAATTGGTCTGGGATTGCCATCAAACCCTCATGAAACTGGCTAAATATAACAGGGTACAACTGATATGGGTGCCGGGGCATGAGAGTATTGCTGGAAATGAAGCAGCAGAACAATTAGCTAAAATCTGAGCTGAACATCCGTTCATAGGACCTGAACCAGCCTGTAGCATCTCTCTAAGAGTTGCCAAACAGGCAATCAGGGACTGGACTAACATAAAACATAAGAAATACTGGGAATCCTTAACTGGACTAAGGCAAGCAAAGAGACTCATATGAGGACCTTTGGCTAAAAGAGCGAAGGAACTGTTGAAGCTCAACAGGAACCAGCTACAATGGGTGGTAGGGCTACTTACAGGACACTGTCACCTCAAAGGACACCTGTTCAAACTGGGACTAAGTGATAGTCCCACTTGTGAGAGGTGTCAGAAAATGAAACAGCCACACATGTCCTGTGTGAATGTGAGGCTTTAGCTTATTTAAGATTACATCACTTGGGTCAGTACTTTATGGAACCAAGTGACTATTTTGATGCCCCCACATCCAAAATCCTGAGCTTCATCCAAAGCATGGGGTTGCTGAGAGAATAATTAAAAAGGGAAGCACAATGGACCACTGAGGTCTAAGTGCAAGGGCCAAGAAGGCCTATCCCTCATACATTCATTCATTTAGTCATTCATAGCATGTGCTGTAGCGATTTGTAAAGCGTGGAGATAAGTGATGGGGCTGTAAGTGCAGTCACAAGTCACGTGTTAAAGTGGTCACTACCTCCAATCTCCAATCCACACTCCATCCAATATTATAGGCACTGATTATAATATACTGTCTTCCTTGTTCTAACACCATCTACGTGATAGTTCAGAGAGCAAGCACCTCCATTTTGCAGTCTGCAAGGTAAAACCAAGCAAGAAACCAGCCAAAGCAGGCAACAAGCTGATTCCTGCAAAATGTCCAACACACTACCAAACTACAAGGTGTTGCAATCCATAAGAAGGCACTCTGCATAGTCACTGCCATCAGAATCTCAAATACAACAGGATATAATGCAGCCAATAATGTAGGCCAGAACACAAAATGATACACTTAACAGTCACAACAAAAGATCCTCATGAATAGGTTTTAAAATTTCTGTGCACCTAGCTTTTCATTCAGATTCAAACTCACACCTGATCAGTTTCCTTCAATAAATCACTGCCGACTAACCTACAGTGCCCTTCTTGTTATCACACGAAAGCCACTCCATTGCTGGCACCAGGTACCAAATTTACTGGGAAATGCTGCAGTAACACAACACACAAAATGTCTACCTCCATACTGGAAAAATGATTACAAGACTTCTTCTTATGGCCCAGTAATTTCCACAAACCTAAACCTAATGAGATGCTCTGGTACAGTTTATATTGGACATGCAACAAAATCCATATTTAAGGAATCTCTACAGCATGGCTCTACCTGAACTATTTCGAGACTATGGAACATTACGTTAGAAAAAGTTATCTTCTTATAAGACTTAATATACATAAATTATACAACTTCATTATGTTAAGTCGGTAAACAAACCGTTTCTACACAATTTACTAATTAACTAATTTATGGGGCAACTGGGCAATAATTCTTTTAAATGCACTCACAATGAGAATATACTAACTTTTCGTCTCTGGCAGAGTCCCTGGATGCCCTCGAGTCTCTGGAAGCCCGACTGTCACGGCTGTCTGGTCTCTGAGGCCGTTCGTCCCTATCCCTGCGATCCAAGTCTCTCTCTCTGGTGTCCCTTCGGTCTACATCCCTATCTCGATCACGGTCCCTTCTGTCACTTTTCTCACGTTCCTCTTGTGGTGGTGGTGGTGGCAGTGGTGCAAGAGGCTGCTTCCAGTCCTTCTCACGCCATTCACCGCTCTCCTGTCGCCCCAAGTCACGGGAAGATTCGCATTCTTCAAAAGGATCCTGCACAAAATCCAAGCATACTGTACTTGTACCAATAAAAACATTTCTACTTTCAGTAAAAATATAAAAAAATCGTGATTTATATGATACACTGAAGTTCTGAAATTAATTATTTTCTCAAGTACCCAGTTTAAAATTATCTGAAGTTGAAAAGAGCAGGAGCTGTAGTGATTTTTCCACAACCAATCACACCTCACACACTATCAAATGCTGCCTAACATGCTGGCACATAATCTCTAATCTGATCCATGGCAATATGTTCTGTGCCATAATCAATTAACAGTAACTATTCTAACTTTTCACCAAAAATGTGTGCTTAATCTCTACCCAACCAACATTAACTTCCACTGACTGCTATCAATTGCACCAAGGCTGTGTTAACAGACTTCACTACCTATGTATGGCATCAGGCATTTATATTATGTGCATGAAATACAGTCAGTTTGGAAACAAAGCAGGTCTTGAATATATGGTATTAAGTGAGAACATTTCTTGAATTTAAGTTTTGAGAAGGAAAATGTTATAAGGCTTATTATATGGGAAATTTGAACATTGCACCTGACCTCACAGGCCAGTTATCACTGCATTCACATTAATTCTCTATACTGCCAACTATAAAGCAACATCATCTAATCAACCGTGAAACAGGTGAATTACCTCACCATGAAAAATATTCTGATTACAAGCCTCACCAGTTTTTGCAACAAAAATTTATAATCTTTATTTGTAAAAACACACTAACGTGTGTCTTTCTGTGTGATTCAGGTCTAAATATTTGTGAAAATGGTACATTAAAGTAGAGATCAGTTATCTGGACTTTATCAATCAATTTATTTGAAGCACCATGTTGGAGAATGAACTGTCTGTCCTCAGATAATCAGTTAACTGGGTCCAACAGAGTACATTTTCTCACCCACAGATGGAGACAGAGTCGAGTCTCTGAAACGTGATATAAAAAAATGGTACAATCAATGTTCAGAAAACTGATCACTGTATTCCATATGAATCTGACCAACTAAAATGCAGTCTTATGAATTTATTTCTTAGACTTTGATGAACCTTTTTTTTTGTACACTTTCAGAATGTGCTAGAAAGTATCAGCATGTAAGATTTGAAGTGAAATCATCTGGCTCATGACAATAATGACTGATGGCAGGTTTTCTGATCATAGTAATGCACCTGCACATTCTGTTTAATGGCAGAAAATTTCTTAAGTAGCTTAACTATCACACTCCAGGATCCCACCCCATGGAACAGCCCCTTGAACCATTACCATCAGACAAATAACCTTGCACATTTTGGAAAAAAACAGTTTTTATAAGCGTTCCATCTTCTGGGATATGCTGCCTTGTGGTCCACTGAAACTTGACTGCTGTTCCAGGGGAACCTGTCACCTAGATTTTCAGGATCAAAGAATAAGCCAAGAAATAAATGGAGGTCACACATTACTTTGAAATGTCAGATGACTTTCAACAGACTATACAATGTTATATCCCAGAAGACAGAACTCACTCTTTGTAACCACTGCTGTGAGAACCTCAAATCCTACACTTTATGTAAGCAAGGATATCAAAATGTGGAAAAATAAATGATATAAACTCCGTCTCAAGTGCAAACAATATATTTTGTGTCTTTGATCTTGCTTCCCCACACTACATGTTTCGGCCTCAGACGGCCATCATCAGGTGTATAACACTCACGTCGCTGTCACACTGCACCCAGCTCAAAATTTAACATCTAAAACACTCTCCCTGTCATTATCAACTTCCACTCCGTTGATAGCTGTCTGGCTCGTAGATTATTTCACACACGTTAATTTTACTTTATTGTAATGGCACCATAATAAAATCTTTAGTTCTAATTTTAAAACCTTTAAATTCTTTCTCCAAATTTTAAAATTTTTTAAAATTATTAGGGTTATTCGCCATGTGTTTAAAGTGCTGCAGCGGCTAGTTCTTGTTTCCACACTGTATAGGTGTTATCTGTAATATACATATATATTCGTATTACCATCTTATGTATGTGGTGTTTTCTTATGTGTGTACAAGACAAATGGAGATTTACAAATATGAACCCCACAGCCCCAAACCTACACGCCACAATAAAACTACACAAACCTAACACACCCATTAGACCAATAATAAACTGGAAGAACGCCCCAGCTTACGAAATGACAAGGAAATTGACGAAAGTGTTGCATGATTATCTAGAACTACCAAACACATACAATGTCAAAAACTCCTCCCACTTAATGTTAGATTTACAACCTATTAAACTTAATGAGAACATACGATTATGTTCCTTTGACATTGAAAACATGTATACAAATATACCAAAAACTAACACCATAAACATAATAAACACTATATTAGGAAAAAGCCATAAAATAAATAAGGAAAGCCACAAAGAAATAATACATATGTTAAAAACAGTATTTGAACAAAATTATTTCCAAATTGACGAAGAATACTACAAACAAACAGATGGAATAGCTATGGGAGCCCCAACATCAGCTATAATAGCAGAAACATATATACAA